TGGGCGCTGGCGCCGTGGGTTGCGGGGTCCGGGAGCACCATCGGCCCAGGGCCCAGCCGGGAGCAGCGAGCCCGGCCCGTGTCTGGAGCCCTGAGAGCTGGGGGCAGGCGGGCTGGGAGAAGGCACAGCTCTCGCGTTTGGGTGGCGAGCAGATGGCCGGCCGGACTCCTCCCTGCTGAAGCTCCGGCGTCTGCCGCAGAGATACAGGCAACCTGTTTGGCCTGCGCAGCCCCCGCGCTGGCTGTAGAGAAGGTGGAGAGGCGCTTGCAGAAGAGACGGCTGCCTGGAGGACAGTGACGAGGGGGTTACTCGGGTAGCGCGAGGGTGCAGAGAGCGAGTAGAAGATAAGGGGGATGCTGAGCAGGTGCAAAGCCGACAGTGATGCAGAGGGACCCCCAAGGGAACACAGGCATTGAAGAATATGTGACAGATGTTGAGCAGGTGCAGAGCAGATGATGAGCAGGCCCAGATGTGGACACTAAACAGATTCAGGTGCAGAAGCTGAGCAGATGCAGATGCAAAGACAGAGACTGAGCAGACATGAACCCCGAGCAGACTGCAGATGCTGAGCACATGTAGGCACAAGCAATCCTTTTGGTCTGTGCTTAAGATTCCTTAGGACTGGAAGATGTTGGTGGGTGTGCAGTCATACCACCATTCAGGGTGTCCTCCCGTGATGTAGTGCAGTCTTGGGGACGCAATTTTGAACGCCAGCATTTCTGGGGAGGAGCTGTGACTTGGTGCAGACAGCCTCAGAATGCAGTTATTCTGCCAGGTTTACGTTAATCTTGACATACGATGAGCTGGAATAAGAGCTACAATGTGGTAATGCAACAAATTTCACTTAATCTCTGGCAAACTGCACTCCATATGGTTATATGATTAGCTCTTAGCTCAGGAAACACCAAGACTTGAGGAACAGTAAGTGCCCAGGGTATAGCAGCTTACCCGTATTTCAACATTTTTGACCTACTGAAGTGTTGTTTGTGAAGTTCTAAAAATATATGGAGAAACCAAGTGTCTGTGCAAAATAGTACAGCCACACTATGAACTGGTGCATTTTGGGGAAGGAAACTGGGAAAGCACAACAGCGGGAAATGAAGTCAGAGGAGTGGATTTGGACCAAATAGAGGGGAAAGAGGAATGTAGCCATGTGGTGCATGAGAAGGAGCAGTGAGGAGGGACTCTGGGTTGGGGAAAATTCCAATGGAAATGAATGAACCTGTCCCATGTTCCTGTAGGATGCTGGGGCAAGGTGCTGAGCAGTGGGTTCAAAAGTGATATCAAGCAGTGCTGAAATTGAATTCCTGGGAATGGGCAGCGTAGATGCCACTACCCAGAGAAAGAGGGAACTTTAGAACTGGGTCACACTGGGAGATACTAGCTCCAGACAGAGTGTGGTGTCAAGAGGCACACTTCTTTTGAAACCTGGGGAATTTCATCGCTTACACCATGGCTGAATTTGGCCCTGTGTCTTCAGGAGTGGCTGATGTTCAATTTTCCCATGACTTTGTCTCTGTGCCAGGTGGTGATCTCAGAGCATACTCTGAGCCAAAGCCAGTCTCCTCTGGGGGGGAAAGGGAGGACTGCTCCATTGAGGGAACTGCGAGGATGATACAGACAAGTCTGAAATGTGTGTGCATGCACACGAACTGTTCTAGCTCCAAACCATTAAGTGGCTCGTTGGCTCAGAACTCACTCTTCTCAAAGGCTTAAGGCCCAAAAGTGAGGAGAGCTGAGGAGCAAAAATAGCAGCAGGGAGAGCCCCATCCTTCTAGGAAGGAAGAATATTCAGGACCAGGTTCCCCATGTCTACTCTGAGCTGTTTGTTGACTCACAGAATTGTCTTTCTGCTGCACCTCAGGTACATAACCTGAATTATAAGGGACTTACTTTCAGAGAATAATTTGCTCTTGACCAGCCATTCACTTCAGGGATCTTCTAAAGCTCGTGGGGGTTCAGACCCCCTTAAGCACTGACTTGGTTAGATTCAAGCTCAGAGAACATCTGCAGTGGTCCTGCAAATGGATTTGCTTACCTTCCTGAGGAAAAACAGATGCCATTTTCCAAGCCAGCTTGAGAGACAAAGCAATTAAAGCCATGGGTCACTGGGGCCAAGAATCTTTTCCTCCACACCTGCCATCTGCAGAGTTACAGAAGGATCAGGTTTTTTTCTCCAAAGTTATGCAGCTTTGGTGTGAAGCACCTTGAAGTACTAGTGGTATAATATGGACTGAGACAATACCTGCTGACAGACAGCCTGCCCTTCTTCAACCTCAAACTCTAACCACACAGCCATCAGCCTTCTTGGGGCTTGCCAGAAATGGAAGCTGCATAGGGTCGGCAGCACATGGAGAACCTGCACCTTGCGGAGAGCAGCGTTAGGAAGAAGGAAGCTCCCAAAAGAACCTGCTCTATGTATCACATTGTCCACTCAAAGAGGCTACTGGTCTCATCATTTGTACAGTCAACAGTTCTGGGCTGTCTGGGCTCCACAATTGTATCAGGGTCTGATCATGAGGATGCATCCTGTCATGTCAGACACAGCCTGGCATGGGTGCACAGGGCATCACAGATTCCCTGTCTCCAAGTTTGGTTACAACCATTGTATTGTGGACTGGAAGAGCTTGCAGGAATATTGCCTCCAGGCTTTGTTCTGTGCAGGTAGGTGGACATGTCTGGATTCCAGTGTGATTAACACACCTGACCTGGGACTGGACCAAGCTCTCTGAAAAATCACCTCATCTCCTCTGCCTGTGACCTCTTGCAAAAAGTGCTTTGCCCTAAAGCAGTCAGCTTCCTGAGAGTGAGACCTGTATCCTGGACACCCTGCTATGAGAAACAGGTTCCAATCTCAGTGTTCAGAGTGAAAACACAGAATGCAGCTCCATCTCCCATCACAGAGGGCTTCTACTCAGGGTACAAAGGGAACATGAAACAACTTCTTAGGGAAGGGAAGGTAGGTATTACTGTTTCCCCTAGGAAGGTCTCACAAGACATCAGGACCTTGTGTGAAGTAAGTAGGTAGAAGGCAATGTGGAGACACCAGGCAAAATATAGTAGATACAGTAATCTCTAACCACCACAGCTACTTAACTTAGCCAAAAATCTTAAAGAGATGATAAACAATAAATTATTTTGTCTTGTTTGCACTGTGCTGTAGGACCAGATCTGCAGTCTCTAAATAGATTGCTAGATAAAGCAGTACTGTTGGAAACAGATACTGGGCTACACTGACCACTGGTCCGATCTAGAAAGGCATTTCTGATGACTACAGGGACACCCCTTGTGGACAGGCAGGCAGGTCTGAAATGGAAGGGCAGGCTGTTAACAGCACTATTAATAGGGCTAAGAGTGCAAAACAGCTTAAGGGGGTATTAAAACACAGTATATGCTTAGGTCCAGGAGACAGAACAGTTATCAGAGTTAGACTTCAGCTAGGAAGATGCCTTGGGAACATTTGATGAGATCAGAGCTCAGATTTTCTGCTGTGCTTTTCTGTGGCATAAAACCTAGCACTGATCAGAGTGGTGGAATGTCCACAGTGGGTGTCCTTGTGTGGCTCGGTGTACTGTTTGCACTGCAGGGTTGTTGGGCTGAGCACAGCAGCTCATGGCTGCAAGAGGGCCTGGTCTCCTGGGATTATTGAACATCCAGTTCTTCAATAGCAGCCAGGGACTTCTCTGTATGGGAAAGCTTTTCCATTCCATAGTACAAATGACAAAACCCCCTACAATTAAAGCCCAGTGTGAGCATCTGGTCATTAGCTTACCCTAAGAACACATCCTTGTAAACTGGCTTACTTCACCTTCATGGATATGACTCAAGAAGTGCATCAGTGTTGCTCAAAGCAGAATCTGGCATGGGAGGTGAGCCTCTGTGTTGAGGCACCATTTCACACCAGCCCACCTTCTGAAGTTGTTTCCATGGGGAGAGAGCAGTGGTGGTGTGAAGAGAAGGGCAGACTTTAGGAATCTTTATTTGAAGGTTGCTTCAGATAGGGCTTCTGGCCTGTTTGTCACAGCCTGGAACTGTGGCTGGGAACAGGTGATAGTTTTCCTTTCTGTTTAAAAACAATAATCAGCTGACACAAGAGCCCTGTGCTGCACTGGACAACAGTCAGATGTCATGTGAGAGACTCTGTAAGGCTGCAAACAAACTTGCATGTGGATGTAGAGCAGGAGCTGCTGTCTCTTGTCTGCAGGAAGCCTTAATGATGCTAGAGCCTCAAAGGCTAACAGAAGTCAATAGGAAAGGAACAATAGCCATAACAAAGACTTCTCCATGGGACCAAAATGATCCCATTGAAAAGAGGCTTGCTTTTTCTTGAGGACTCTCGTTTTGGACCTCACTGCTTTTACCTACTCCCTTTTGGGGCACCTGTGAAATTGATTTTTCCGTTCAGCAGGCACACATCAAGGCAGAGAATTGCTATGTTATTTCCTGCCCATCTGTCTGATCCCCGCAGGCCTCTCAGCACTATTACTCTGTCCTTGTACTATTCATGAATTCCTTCTCCAGGTCATGAGTGAGAACTGATCATAAACCCCAGTTCTTTCAGTACACACTGAATAGTCACTGCTCCAAAAAGTCTTCCACACCTCATACTTCGTGGGGACTTGGCTGGCTTTCATCCTGGGAGACAGTCAGGGTTTGTAAAACTAAGATACAACAGCAGTGGGATCATCTGTGCAGCTTCATATCTCCAGCATGAGGAGAGTCACACCATCGCCACTACTGGGAATTGGCCCCACTAGCTGCAAATGAGGTTGCCCCATTGCCTTGTCTGGGGGTGTCATTTTGGATGCAGCAGACTCGTGAGCATTAGCAACATTTGATGAGCAGAGTTAGAAGAGATAATACTAAAATTACTGTGGTTGATCTGTACGGATTCTCTGGCTTGTAGCATTGAAACAATGGTGGCAGCAGTGGGAAGATTTTGCAAAATGTTGCCATGTAGACCAAATTTGAGTGAAGTCATCCTGTGTTACCTTTAGCTAGATAGCCATGCTTCACAGATAGCAAGATGTCTGAATGACAGGCCTCTGCTGTAAAGTTCTTTCTCAAACTATTTGAGATCTCATCCCTCTAACTTGTGGTTCTCAGTCTTTCCATCTTTCTTTCTCCTAGATGAGTTGGGCATTTGTCCAAAAGGTGTCACCTCCAATGTGTTCCGCTTTAATGTGTCCTCGGCAGAGAAGAACAGCACCAACTTGTTCCGGGCTGAGTTTCGGGTGCTGCGTGTGCCCAACCCAAGCTCCAAACGCAGCGAGCAGCGCATTGAGCTCTTCCAGGTGAGTATTCTTCTCACCTTTGCCTGTGCCTGAGCCCAAAATAGCTTGGCTGTTTAATTGTTACCTCAATTGGTATGTGCAGGGCTACAGGAGAGAGAGAAAGAGAAATCTCATGCTGTACCCCAGGCTTCTTCCAGCATACACGGTGATACAGTCACCTTTCATTCCTTTTAGAGCGTGCTGCTGTCCTTTCCCCACTCACATTGGCTGGCTGCTTTGGCCACCCTGGTATGGTGCCCACTGCAGCTCTTTGCTGCACTGAGAAGGGGATTGTAAGGGGAGCAGCCCTGACCCTTCTGTCACATCAGCATGCTAGGTCCCTTGGCAGTTTTGTTCCTTTGACTATTGCAGTACAGTTGGTGCTAATCCAAAGGGTGGAGCTCTCTGTCTTGTCACTGATTTACTAGAAAAATAATGCTTGCTTTCAATGTTCCCTTCAGCAGCAGCTCCTTAGGGGCACAACTCATGGCACTATTAATTCAGGGGCTTATTTGGAGCTTGCTTTGAACCCATGGACTCCCCTGGCAGGATAAGGTCTGGTTCAGGTTTGGAAGTGGCCTTAGGCTGGGCCGAACCACCCAGCTAATCGTACAGTTAAGCATCCATGCAGTGCATCCCCACAGGCTGATGTCTGTGCACTTTGCAGTAAAAGCACAGCTAAAACTGCCCCGTGGCCGGTAGCTCGAGGTCTTCGCAGAATTCAGCTTTTGATCTGGAACACCGTGCACAGGCTGGGTATCTTTGGAAGTGGGAAGAGATGTCAGAGCAGGGGGAGAGGTCTCTAAACTGGATCAGCCCTGGCGTGTTTTGATAGAAATTGAAGAGTGTAGGACAAATGAAAACACCACAGTGTAGGACTCAGTAGGGTTGCTGGGCAAGGGACCTGTGGCAAGATGCTCTATTGTCTACTGCTGGTTCTACTCTGAAATCCAGACCCATACGCCAGAGGTGTATACAGAAAACAAAACCACCCATTAGATCAGTTAGATCCTGCCTCTAGATATGTGCCCTAAAACAGGGATGAATTGAGAGAGGTGGGCTGCTTAGACACAAAAATAAGCACTGTGTAGATCTCTGGAGTTCAGGTTGGTTGTGAAGCATGTCCTTATCACCTGTGCCAGGGTGTTCCTGATGTCTCACCTGCTGGGATCAGTTTTTAGCAAGCTGTGGAAGAAAAAAGGCCCAAAGCTATCCCTTCTTTATGCATGGCACTGGCTGATTCTCTCTACCACTCCTTCTGACACAGATCCTTCGGCCGGATGAGCATATAGCAAAGCAGCGCTACCTCAGTGGCAGGAATGTGCAGACACGGGGCTCCCCTGAGTGGCTGTCCTTCGATGTCACCGAGACTGTGCGTGAGTGGCTTCTGCACAGAGGTAGGGGTCTTGGCTGGACCGGGTGTCAAGGCATCCATAGAAATGTGGATCAGTGTTGACAGAAGCCTCTCTCTGCTCCCCTTCTTGCGGGAGCTCAGCTTACATAGAGGACAGCTTCTTTCAGTTTGAGAACAAGCCTCCCCCCCAGAGAGCTACCTCAGTGCGTGACGTCTGCTAGATTCCTAGCTCTGTCCTGGAGTCCCTGCTGTGTAGCTCTGTGGGCTGAGTCAGAGTGAGCATTCATCCTCTGAAGGAGGAAATTGTTTTCACTGAGAGATGCTGGAGCTTCTTTTGGTTCTTCGATTCTGAGCCCAGAGGGGACCCCTCTGCTTGTCTAAACTATAATCTGCAATACATAGAAAATGAGGATTGCTCTGGCTTAATTTTCACATGGACTAGAGCAAATCTAATAGGGAAAAAAACCAGCAAGGATCCTGATTTCTTCAGCTGTTTACAGCTTGTCAGGTATAAAGGTGGGGAAATACCAGAGGCTGACACACCTAGACAGATGGAGGCTTTAGCACTGCAGAGAACATACTCTGCCATCCCAGGGCAGCTCAACAGATAGTTATGGGGCAGCTCCCAGCAAGAACACTGACTCCATTCACAGCTGGAGCATAGGCACTATGACTCACAGCTGGATCAGCCTCACAGATAGAAGCTAGGTGCCACTGAAAACTGAAATGCAGGTACTGGCAAGCAGCCCTTCCCTGGAAGGGTAAGCAGTGAGTTTGTAGGCTCCTCCTATTTCAACCGAAGTTGTGTCCTGATGGCTGGAGTTCAGGGCTGGAACTGCAGCAAGCTCTATGCAGGCATGCTAGCTGACAAGACATCACAGAGTATACAGTACTTAGGAAAAAAAGGTGCTAGGCACCTTGTCAATGCCCCAGGGAGCCAGATGTTTTAATTCATGACACAACATAAAAAAGGAGCTTTCCTAAGATTCTTATGTTCTCTTAGTCAGGCCCACACAGCATGACTGGTCCAGGAAGTTATGAAAATAGACTTGCCTCTAAAGTCTGCTTGATTTAGACTGCTAGCAGTTCAAGAGAACAGGAGGTTGCAGCTGCTGAGAAAAATGCTTCCAATAAAATTACTTGTCCATATCCAACTCTCTCATTTTCAGATCTCTCCTTCAGACACTACCAGAAGCCAGATAAGTACACAGGTACTGAGGATGGCAAAACTGATTTAACACAGACACCACAAGCCAGCTCTTCAAAATACTTGTTATCCAGTGGAGCTCCTTAAATCTCACAAATGCTTTTGGATGCTGAATAGCCTAAAAAAATGTAACCAGGAGCACCCTTCTTACCTGCCCAGGAAGCTCCCTTTAGTAAGACTAGGGCTTTTGGCACAGCTGAAGCCACAAGGTTCTGCTTCCCATTCTCCTTTTCTAAGGCATCTCTGTTCCCCAACTCTGATAGCATCCCTGACTTTGAGACCAACTCACAGTCTAGCAGTTACCACAGTACGTGTCCTCAGTGGAACTCCCCTGCATCAGGAGCTGTCCCAGCTGAGGAAGACTTGTTTCTCACAGAGTCATCTTCTTTGCAGAGTCCAACCTTGGCCTGGAAATTAGCATACACTGTCCTTGCCATACTTTTCAGCCCAACGGGGACATCTTGGAGAATTTGCATGAAGTCTTGGAGATCAAGTTCAAAGGTGATAAAGAGCTGGGTTAAGGGATGCTGTAGGGGAGGGGAAAGCCTGGAGCATTTAAAGAAGAAATGAGGTCTTGGTTTGCATATTTGAGCATTTTACATTGCATAACAATTGTTTTAAAGCATACACATCTGGGTTTGCATGTTGATTTGCATGATGGCTATATCCACTTTGTACATAGGTTAGAAATGGAAGAAAGTAAGTGAAGGCTGTGTGGGTTTGCACAAATGTCTGCAGAAAGGAATAATTTTGTATTTCAATGTCTCTCTGGGAAGTTCAGCTTCATGCCTTCTCAGATTTCCACAGAGACTCTGCTTTCCAGTTAGGGTGACTGAAAGAAACACAAGGAAGTCAGGCATCCTGTGTGAGGTGGCCCAGAGAGTCAGTGGCTTGGCTGGCCTAAGAACTAGGAACCTCCTGGCTTGCAGCCCTGGGCTGCAGCCACTGGCCCCCACAGGCTCCATTTCTGAGGCTGTTCTGCAGAGTGCCAATGATCTGACATCTTCTTTAAACCATTCATCTTCCTGCCTGTCCTGGGACCAAAGCCAGGAGTGAGCGGGATGGATTAATGGCCCCACCAGCAGTTTGCAAATGGTAAAACAGGTGGCCTGTAAGCCTCTATTTCAGGCCTGCAGCAGTCAAGATTCACCAGGAGTAAAGGGGACCCTGTGAGGGAGGACATCCCAGAGTAAATGGACATGGTGCCTGAACCCCTTTCACCCTGGTTCAAGGGTAGACATGAGAGTGTTAAATGCACTGAAAAGTCTTGTTGCACCCTCCACTTTCCCACTGATTTCTTCTTCATGGATCCTGTTTTTCTCTGAAGGCATTGACAGTGAAGATGACTATGGCCGTGGGGACTTGGGGCGCCTGAAGAAGCAGAAAGACTTGCATAATCCCCACCTCATCTTGATGATGTTACCCCCACATCGTCTGGAGAGCCCGGCATCGGGAGGCCAGAGAAAGAAACGGGCCCTGGATACCAACTACTGCTTCCGGTAAATGAGAATCCTGCCTGGAGTGACCAGGTCCCTTGCCTGAGGTGGGCAAGCCTGGCAAGACTCATGCCACTGGGAAAGGCAGAACCCTCCAAGGGGGTTGTGGGTCACCGTGGTGCTACAGGAGCCACATGAAGAGCGCAGCTCAGCAAGTTGTTCCCTGTGGTGTCCAAGAAGGGGATGCTGGCCAGCTCAGCAGAGTCACTATGTGCTTCTGGCTGAGCCACTGGCTAGAGGGAGACTTGCAAGCAGCTTCCTGGAGCACAGCCTGGGCAGGGACCTGCAGCAGCCCCCTGCTTTCTCCAAGTACCAGAGAGCAGCTGGGTGCTACCTCCCTGGGCCAGTGGTTAGGCTGCCTGCCAGCAGCATGAGCAGTGCCAGGCCTGAGCTGCCCACCACTGCTCACCTGTGCTGCTCCTCTGCACTTGGCACAGGCAAACAGGAGGCTGCATCACACCATTGCATATAAGGCCCCTCTTTAGATTCACCGTGTTTCAATACTGTGTTTCAGGAACCTGGAGGAGAATTGCTGCGTGCGTCCTCTGTACATCGACTTTCGACAGGACCTTGGCTGGAAATGGGTCCACGAGCCTAAGGGCTACTTTGCTAACTTTTGTTCGGGCCCTTGTCCATACCTCCGCAGCGCAGACACCACTCACAGCACGGTACATCCCGTATATGATCCTGTTAGGGCTTGTGGCTGTGACTCCCCCTTTCTCCCTAAGTCTGTGATCATATCAGGTCTCTTCAAAGCACCAAAAGCTGTTTAGATCAATACTTCTAAAAACTGTCCAGGAAAACTGCAGAAAAGAGTCTAGGTGCTTCAGCAGAGAAAATGCACTCCCTTTGGAGTCAAAACTGAGTCCATGCTAATAGCCAGATGTTGAGGAGAAGGATGCTGCTGTCTCTTGGATAAGACATGAAACAGCAGGACTGATGGTTTTAGGATACTTATTTGGTAATGGCCAGAGTATTAACTGAATTGTTTACATCAAACATTAACTCTGGTAATTATCTTCTGCCTAAATTTCTCCTGCAGTTTGCACTGGACAGAGGATTTTTCTATGCTCTGTGCCAGGTTGTCATGCAAAACTGTTGTGCCATGGCACGCAGCTGCCGTCTGCTACCACAGGGGCAGCCCGAAAGAGAAGGGAGATCCGTGTCGATGTCCAGAAGTGAACGCAGCCAATGCAGTAAACTCTCCTTTCTGCACAGGCATACTTTCCAGCGGTATAAATCCTAGCCCACCTATGGCAGGGGGAAACCTATTAGGCAGTGAGATTCACGTGTAGAAACTGGCAGAAGGCAAATGTCTTTAGGTAATTTACGCATAATCTCTAACGTGAGTACACTAGGCAGCCTTTGGGAAGAATACTACCTCAACCTAGCTACTGTCTAGAGTGGAAGAAAATAAAAGCAATAGAAAAGCACGGGCATGGGAAAGTACCAAGGGGAGAAGACAGACTAAGGAGCAGGCAGTCATTTTCTGAAGCAAGGAAAGATGGAGGAAAATCCTGTGCTTCTGTCCAGAGAAGAGTAAAGGCAGCAATCCAGACAATGCAACAGCTTACTAACAACTTAGCTTCAGGTTTCACTAAAAACATTCCTGGAAAAAGCAGATCTGGCTGAAGAATAAATAACTAGGTAAAGATGATATTGCAAAAAAGATGCTAACATTGAGAGTCTGCACAGCAGCAAGGCTTGCTGAAGCTCAAGGACTGATATCAGTGGGAACAATCAATCTGTGGGAGTGAAGGCGTGAACAGATGGGGAGCGAACAGCTTTGAAAGGGTAATAGGCATGTAACTTTACCATCTGGTTGTCCTGAGAAGCGCTCTAGTAGATAACTGGACTGAATCAGTGTGAGAGAAAGGAGATTTTTAGAATGGTTCCTAATGTTTTTTTCTTGAGCAAGAAAGGAAATGATTAAGCTTTAAGGTCAGCTGGGTGATTCAAGAAACATTTAGAACGATATAGCTGCTGATAGCTTGCCAGCATCACCTAGGCAAAACATGGTGAAAAGAAGATTACTCATCAGTCTGTTTAACCTATTGTCTGTTGAGAAAAGTGGCCCCAGAGCTCTCACATGGTACCCCTGTGGTACAGTCAGGAGTACTTTGTTCAGTATCCCAGGGAGCTGCTACCAGAACGACTGTGATTACATGAATCTGGATGATAGAACAGGATGTTTCCTTAGCACCTCATCCCCAAAGACTGACTGTAAAGTACTTAAAAGACAATGCGCCAGACCCTGTCGTTTATACCAGATAAGCACTAATGAGACCACAGTAGTGCAGGTGAGATCATGTTTTGGCCCCACAACTCAAGAAGTTGCTTACCACTGAGAAGCAGCCACCTCTGGCAAGAAACATGGCAACTGTTCTGTAGCGGTTACATGGCTGAAGTGTACAGTCATCTGTGGGCTGGGGCCAGCTGGGAGGAGGAATCCAGTGGGGTCCCACAGGATACTCTGCTGGCTCCAGCATTACAGTGTAATGACTTAGAGGATGGAGTGGAGGGAGAAGGCATCAGACAGTTCAAAGCTGGGAGGGAATTGTGGATACTCGAGAGGATTGGCATCTATCCAGTGCTATCTAGAGATGTTGGTTGAAATAAGCAGCAGGGATGTTCTTTCTTCTGGTTTCTTTAATGGAACCCAAAACAACATGGCCCCAGGCTGGTTACACCCAGCCTTATTAAAAAGCAAAAATTGTGACACTATCCACCATACCAAATTAGAGATGCAAGGAGACTACTTGCACTCCTTCAACCCTTAGGCATCAGCCACAGCGCATGGCTACTACAATTAAAAAAAAAAAGAGCCAGGCCAGTGCAGGCAAGACCCTTTAGAAGCAATCCATGATCAGGAAGTGACAGGGGAGTATTACTCGCCTCAGGGAAATATTCTGATGAGCATAGTCCAGACACCTAGAGACCTGTTGGCTTTGCAGTCCCTTCCTGTCCTCAACCAGCTTAAATGTATTCCTGACTTTGTCACCACATTTACTTTGTTTTTGCAGGTGCTGGGCTTATACAACACGCTGAACCCTGAGGCATCTGCTTCACCCTGCTGTGTCCCCCAGGACCTGGAGCCACTCACCATCTTGTACTATGTCGGGAGGACCCCCAAAGTGGAGCAGCTCTCCAACATGGTGGTGAAATCCTGCAAGTGCAGCTGAAAGGCACCCTGGCCCGCCCAAAGCCAAGAGAGAAACTGTCAGCACCCACTCTCCTGCTCCCAGGCTAACACAAAAGTAACTGGGGGTCAGAGACTATGCATGCTGAGGGCTGAGTGCCAAACCCTGTGGCTTAGGGTCTGGAAGCCCTTGGGGATCTCTTCTGGAACATTTCTTGGTCTTGTTGGCAGTGTCATGTTCCTTCTGGGAGTTACTTTGATGACACGAAGGCCACACTCTCCAAAATGGCTGGACAGTTTGTGCAGAAGAGAAGGATAGGGTGGAGGAACTGCTCTGTATTTGAATGCTGGGTGGTTGAGCTGGGAAAGCAAGAGAAAGAGAAAGAGCAGGTGAAAGGGGGAATGGAAATGGGGAGATGTTTTCTAATCTAGCTTTAGCTATCTTAGGACCTCAGCCCTCCCCACTGGCCTGAAGAATGAGGTTTCCCCTGTAGGAGGAAACTGTGAAAGTTTCTCTAGAGAAAGAAAATCCATCAAGAAGGGAAGCTGCTGAGAGAAGAAATGCTCAGAGATACACTTAGACTTTTGTTCCTCAGAGCTGTGATCCAGAGTCCTGCAACTGAAACTGTGTCTGCCAGACCTGTAAGTTCAATTGGCAGATCCTGGCTATTAGTTTCTAATGCAAACTGCAAGGCTCCCAGCCAGCCTGCTGAGGGTGGGCAAATACAAGGAAAGAGGGTGCTAAGTCCATTTTCAGAGGGACTGATGTCTCCATTCAGCTCTTTTTCCTTCCTGGAGTTTCTGAGAGATGGTTTCTGGGTCAGGGCAGGAGCAATATCTGTGGATACCTGCATATTGGGCCCATTCATTTGTGAGCTGATACACCCTGAGGACCTCTTGTCTGTTGTGGTTTGTGAAGTGCTTTGGGGTGTTCTGCACCTGGTTCTGCACAGTGACCTGAACGTAACCCAGGCTCATCTGCCAAGACTTTAAAAATAGTAATCTCAAAACATTGTAAAAAAATAAATGTTGGGGGGGGAGATGCTCTTTTTTTCACAAGCAAGTTGTTTGTTGGAGGGTTAGATGGTTTGCTGTTTTTAATTTGCTACTGCTGTGGCACACTCAGTCTAAAATCTTTCCCCTTTCCAAAATGTCTCTTCAAAGGAACAGCCAGAATTTAGGCCAACCAGAGAGCCCCAGAGTGGAAATTCCTTGGTACCCTCAAACTGTGCCTGATGTATACGTGCCTTGCCCCACCCCAGTCCAGACATGTATATCACCTCTGGCATCTGCTTTTATAGAAGGCTCCCCTCAAATGTAAAACACTTCCAAAAGTACTGTTTAAATAAGCAACCAGGGCAGTGCAGTTGCCACTGCTGACAGATGTTCTGTGTCCACTTGAATATATATGGTCTGCTAGCACAGAATTGTACACACAGGTAAGGAACACATCCCTCCTCCCAGTTTACCATGAACATTGCGGATGCTTATAAAAAGCTCACAGATGTTGCCCAGGCAAGAAATCAATGTACTCTTTTTTTAAAAGTACGGACTTTTCAGCCACAGACAGTCCCAAAGGTAAAAATCCCCAGTGCTTGCATGCCATATGAGATTCCGAGGCTGCCTCTGACTCCAAACCACAACTACTTAAAATCATGTTCTAGAGACCACAGAGGTTCCTCCCTGCCCCCTCCAAATTCCTGGTCTCCAGTAATTGAGTGTACAATGACACCTGGCTGGTTATTCACTGGCCAGGGCTCTCCATGGTCAGCTCAGAATTCAGCTCTTCCATCGAGCCCTTCACAACAGTGGCTGCTTCCATATACCTCACGTGAGGCTGCCGTAACATGTAATCTCAAACAATAAACTGTAAACAACCCTTCCTGCACCATCACCAGCTGGCTAGAGGATAGCAAGGGTGGGTCAGTGGAGGGAGCCTGCCAAGCTACATGACATTTTTGGCTGGGGCAGACATGCTCTGATAGAGGCACTCCCCAACACTTAATCTTTATCCCTTTCATCTCTCTGGGACTCCCTGACCTGTCATCGGTGTGATGACAAAAGGTGCAGCTCTGATCAGTCCTGCAGCACTACTGTGTTACTGTGCCCTGTACAGCTGGCCATGCCCATGCTTCCACCTGACCTGCCCAAGGAGGGAGCAAATAAATGTATTATGACTACACTACCATGCTGACAGACAGGCCAGAAATTTAGTGGCTGCAACGGGGGGTGGGGGGGAATCCAGATGCCAATTGGAGTAGGAATTCTCTCTAATCTCCTTTTAGCAGCAACCCCTGGGGAGGTTTTGGTTTACAAGCTGCAGTCTGTTCTTTGGTCATTGTTCCTCCTGAGCCCTGGGCTGGCTCTGCTGCCCATCCAATTGAAGGGCTTCCTTGCTAGTAAAGGGGAAAGAACAAACCCAAGGAGGGGGAGCTGCAAAGAGCTGAGCTAGAACACTTGCACAGCTCACAGTCCTACGTGGCACTTGGAGCACGTCAGAACCACCCACGGATTAACCCTGGCAAGCCCCTTGAGGTGGGTCTGTTTTACTAGCCCTTGTTCACCGCTGCTCCTCCATGGCAGGGAGGGGTGGCAGAAGGACCAAGCCATTTATCTTGGAAAGGAGGTGAAATGGCAATAGAAAATCAGGGGGGAAGAGTCTCAGGGTGTCCAACCATTAAGGACATGGGTAATCTCACGGGTACAGTAATCCTTCAAGTCAAACACATTTCAGTTACTGCTTCTCTGTCCAGCCTTCTGTTTCCCTAGCAACATTTGAGAATTAGATTTGAGACAGGATCTGAATTAATTTTCTTACAATCAAAATGGTTTTCTAGGGGTGTTTTAGCTATAATTCAGCAACAAACTATAATACCTACATGGGGTTAATAACAGATTGAATACACTCCTGGGCACAGGTTTACCACCAAAACATTTCAGGATACTAGTGTGAGAAAGCAGAGGGCAGTTCTCTATATGCTCTGTTGCTAGCTGGCAAACTGAGGAAGACAATGGGAAGGAAAAAGTGGGATCTTCACTGCCAACACTGAATACAGCTCCCAACAGTTCCCTTTTGTTGTTCACAGGAACAAACAAAAGCTGATGAAAACAATCCCAGCACACTCTGTCTCTCTAACAAAGATCAATGGTCAGAAAGAGTGAAAAAACTCTATTCTGCACTGCCATAAGGCAGATCCTACACTGATGGCCAACCAAACATCTGTGTAGTCCCTGCTTCTCTGGCATGCTCTATTATAGCATGCAGGAGACCTAGACCTGAACACCTTGTTTCTCAGGCTGTAGTGCATTGTAAACCTCTGCAAGGAACACTGCTTCAGTAAGTACAGGAATGTACACTGATACTGCAGCAAAGAATAGTCTTTGCAGACTAAATGAGTCTTTGTTCCCCAGTCTTTGGGTTGAATAGTCTAGCTATCTCACTGCACTTAGAAAAAGCAGCAGCATACCCCTGTTACCACTATGTGAACTGGGATATACTGCTTCGTGTTTCACCTTTCCATAACCAACAGTCATCAATACACACAGCAAACAAGATGAATCGTGTCCAAAAGTAATAAAAGATACAAGACAAACATACCTGTCCACTCCTCTGGCAACATCATAGCTCTGTTCTGCTCTATCCTGTGATGTCTCACCTCTCTTTGTTGTAGCTACCACATCTCCATTCTCTCAGTTCACAGATCCTTTTCTTATCTTTCTACACTGCTCAGAAGCTTTCCTTACTTACGACTGGAGTGTCCTCATCAGAGCAGAAATACAGAAGATCTCCAGGCTCAGACTACTTTGTAAATTAAACCACTACAGCCATCCCATGACAGAAGAGGATCTGCTGCAATGTCTTATAAGGCAGATGTCTTTAATATGGTCCAGGGTCTAATGCAGGCAGGTTCAGTACCACAGCAAGATGAAGCTCTAGGGCCTGCTCTATTGTACAGAAAAGGTTTCTTGCCCCCTACAAGTGTTCCTGGTGGCATGCAAAACATCAACTCTGTAGTACTGAGTTGTCTTCTCTTAATAAGTGATTGAAAGACAATGAAATAAATCAAGAAAATACAGTTTTCAATACATATGGAGCCAACAGTGTGATATCTACACACTTGCAAAACTATACTGATTTGCAGTAGTGTAAAATAACAGATGGTTGTATGGGCTGCCTATAACCTACATCAATTGTGATTTAGCACAACAGCAGCAATTTGTGTACAGTGCAAGGAGGAAAATATGTCTTCTAATTCTTTAAAAATAACATCTACTACATTTTTTTTCTTACATTCAAAATCACTAGAATATATTGGTCAAAAGCTGTATAAAATTAATAACTAACATGCATACTATGTCTAGTAAAAGAACCCCGGGACTTTCAGGTGTCAGCTTTACCAATATTTTCTTTTACATACAGGGAAACCATGTAAGCCCTGGTTCATTTCTGATGTAGCTCCAGAAGTCACAGATGGAAGCAACTAAGCACAGTGTCTTTTGTCCTCTTGAAGAGAGGCTTCAGATACCCTGTGCAAATGCAAGATCCTTTATCATGCAACAAGTCAACATGGAAGAGATGAGACAATTTTACTCATTGGGAAACAGATTGTCTTAGAAATTAATTCAGATACATCAACAAGATATACAGCAAATTAAAATTGCTGATTAATGGTTGCCATTCTCTTACCTATATGACAGTAATGCATTTGAGATGTCACACCCATAATTTCAGAAAGAACATTTATTTTGGATGTCACAGTATGTTTCCAAGAAAAAAACTAATTTTAAAGATTACAGCCAAGTACGGCTGCTTTTAGAACATCCTTATCTAGGGCTAGGTTGCATAGGGAAGATGGCAGAGACAGTCTCAAGGCATTCAACCAAACCGCTGGGCCTTTTCCAGAACTGGGCTATGATTTCATGGAAAACACACTTAGGGATAAGGATCTTTATATCTAGTACAGAATAGAGGTTTCTTTACAGCTGTTGTCTGTGGCAAAAAAAAAAACCCACATTATTGGTTTCCCACATCCTGCAGATTTAGTGAACAGCTTTCAAGCAGAAACTCTGTCCCCTGTGGTATATGCTGGCACTGTTGAATTATACCAAGGAATACCAATCTTTCAAGCGGTATCTTCTGAAGACAAAGATTTATTTTTCCCCCTTTCAGAGAGAGAGTGGGGGTAGTGGTCTTTGTGCAGGGTGATATTATTCATCTCTCATTCCAATTTAGTTGGCTAGGCAAGATGATACCTCATTGCTGTCCACAGAGACCGATGCAAGAAATAATTACATGTAGGGGTTATGCGTGTTGCAAAAAGCAAAGGTGACTTCCTTTTCTGGTCTACCAACACTCAGACATTTCTCACTAGCTGTTTACAGATATTCATTCATCACATATGGAAATCAACATGAGGCATTATAATAATATGTCATGGCCAGTGCATGTACATCACTTGATGAAAGAAGAC